AGTAGTGCAATAAAACTTTACTGCAATTCCCTCTTTTGAAGAGTCAAAAGTAAGTAAGTATCTGGATTTAACTTGAGGTAAAACAAAAAACTACAGGAAAAAAATAAATAAAAATAAAATTAGGACCTAAAGACCCTCTGTTATGCAAACCTCTTTTTATTACACATTCTTTTACAAGGTTTATGTTTTAATACTTTAACTGGTAAATTATAATGGAACTGAACACTAAAGCTGTGGTTCAAAACTTGTTAGTATAAAATACTAGAGTTTTTCCAAATGCTTTCCATGGCATGTGAGTCTTTGATTAGGGCAACCAAAGGGAATAAATGAGAGCCGTGATATACCAACCTTAGTTAAATATGGAGAACTTGAAATGTGTTCATTTTTTCCTTTGTTTTCATTTTTTGCAAGAGATAGCCTAAATAATGTAATAATGACTGAAAAACAGATACTGTACTCACCACCTACTGATTAGATTACTGTATGATGACAGAACTAATGCCTTTAAACAGAAATGTAAATATATAATTGTTTGCAAGAGCTCAACAGAAGAAAAATAATTGAACAACTTTTAACACTGGAGTATCCTAAGTATTATACAATTGTTCCCTTTTTATTTGATTATTGAAAAACCCTCCTTGGTATAACTATTGGCGTATAAATTTCACACAAGGCAAATGTTACATAACAGTCCTCCAAAGCCTTTCCTCTGAAGAGTTATTTGTATATTTGTTCCTCTTTTCTTTCTTTCTTTCTTTCTTTCTTTCTTTCTTTCTTTCTTTCTTTCTTTCTTTCTTTCTTTCTTTCTTTCTTTCTTTCTTTCTTTCCTATCTGATCTGTATGGCTAATTCAAGAATCTAAAACTAGTATAAACGATTGGAAATTTGGTTTCTGCTGTTATTTTTGTCCCCAGCATTTAGACTACAGCTAATGCTGCATGCCATAAGTTCTCAGAAGTTTGGGTTTTCTTTCCCAAATTATTTTAAGAAAAGCCCCAAAAGTTGCAATTATTAGTTGGAAAGCTCAACCCTACGTCACTTCTGAATACATGATCCATGTTCTTTGCATCAGTAGTAGTTATATGGTCTTTCTTCAACTGTTTTTAGCCCCTCTGTGACATTTATATAACAGTAGAATGTATACCAATTTTCTGTGGGAAGCAGTGTTGTTCTAATTGAGTTGTTGTAGTAGTGGCTGTAGAGGCAGTATGCAAACAATGTAGAACATAGGAATCTACAAATCTCTTTTTAAGGTAAGTGAAAAGATGGCTGACATTTAACCTACATATTTTCTTAGGTTGCTATACCCTGCTGAACTGTAAAAAAAACAAAAAAAAAAACAACCAAATCCTAAATCATGTCAGACTGCATCACACTGACAACACTAAACCAAAAATACTGCAAATTTACACAATATACAATAATGCTCTGAACTTCCATATCAATGCATATTTTTGCACCATGTTTTTTCTCCCACACTGTTTTCATTTGATCACTGCTGCACTTTATGGAATGGAAATGTTTATTTACTGTCTGAAAAGCTGTACTAAACAAAATTTCAACAATAAAAGTTGTCAAAGTCTTAAGTCTCAGCCCCAAAAGGTGAGCTGCAGCCCAGTCAGCAATCCACCCTCCTTAACTCCTTTGGTCGAGGGACTTTAAAGGGACTATAAAGGTTTTGTCTAAGAGCCAAAAATGACCAGTATCTATGCATAATGTATTTTTGGGCATGGAATGGGACTGCATTTTTTCTTAACCAAAATGATGGTTTTATTTCGATTCCCTCCGCACAAACCTCAAGCATACACAAGTTGTCATTATTTCCACTGCTTTGAATGCTTTTTTTTGCCCTAATTTTGTTTTGAAATCTATTGTTTTAACTTTTGGGACTTTAAGGTTGCTTCTAGCTGCATCTTTCTCTTACCTTTTGTGTACCAGAAAACCAACTTTAAGGACATTACTTCTACATAATGGCCCGAAGTAATAAATGTTGTTGTCTTACTTTACTACGGTAATAAATGCAACAATACAAAAAACTAAGTGCCTCTGTGGTTTGAAAATTACCTTTTTGAAAATTTTTATTGTGTTGCATTTGCAATTTATTGACCAGCTCTTGCATAAAATGTGCATACCCTTATTTGCAAACTGCCCTATTTTCTATGACGCTGCCTGAGGGGGTCTGAGTATTTTACATCTCATTCTAAAATATCATTTTCTGCCTTCAAAAGTTAATCTAATACAACTTCTATCTAGAAGAAAATAAAAAGTATCAGTAAAGTCCTAAACCTTTCCCTGCAGAATGAATTTGCATATATTACAACAACTCAGCACTTACGGAATGAAAATTAAAATCCCAAACATTCCTCAGAAGAATGTATTTGTTAGGTTATGCTATTAAGCTACAAAGACCAAACCTGGTGGATGTTTAACCAAGGTCCTTGCAAACATCCACTTATCCTTGTAGGGTTTTGTTGGGCTGGCCTCAAAGATTTTCAAAGGCTATATTCATACATTACAATGAGTATGATACAAGTGGCTAATTTTTGTATTGGTTTTACTGCCATAAAAAGCCTGGTTTATGCATACAAAAGACAATGATCATTGGCACAAACACAAAGCTACCATCAAAGGGCCAATCAAAGTCCAGAAACCCATAATCAAGGTAGTAAAAAAAAAAAAAGCAATTTCTTAAAAGAACATATACAATGAATGCAAGCAAGACAGAGAGAGCCGCTGAGACGCCACACCAGAGTGATGAAATAAGCAGATAATAATAATAATAATAATAATAATAATAATAATAATAATAATAATAATAATAATAATAATAATAATAATAATAATAATAATAATAA